TTTTTTTTTTTTTTTTTTGCAGTTTGTTAGTTTCCTCATCTATGAAATGGGGCACTTACAGCCCCAACCCCACGGAGTTGCTGTGAGGGTGAAATTCGTTCTAGGTGCAAAGTGTTGAGAATGATGCCCGCCCCGAGTAATCGCTCAAAAAAATGTAAGATATGATTCTTCTGTGTCAGCGCCTCTGTAAAAGTTGTGCCAGGGCTGAACACCTCCAGGCCACTCGTCCCGGAAGTAACCAGACCTGCCTGACCCGGCTTCCGGAGGCAGAAGGCGCCCATCTCTTCGGAGCTGTCTCTCGCAGAAACACGTGGAAACAGGAGGGCTCGTTTGGGGGCAGCTCGTGCCATGCTGGGTCTCCATCTACCACAGATGGGATCAAACTGGCATATATGAAATCCGGGATGAGAATGATAGGCTGTTTCCACAACAAGCTTCATAGTCCAGGGGGATACGTGGTTACATCAAACCTGTGTCGTTGAAGGGCAGGAAAAAAAAAAGGAATTGATGGAAAAGTAAACCATTGTTCTTGTGGATGAGAAGCTCCCTGACAGGAAGAGACTGTACCCCGTCCATGTTTGTGTCCTAGCATGGAACCTGGGACACAGAAGCAGGCATTTGTCATTCCCTACCGCCAGTGTCCCTCCCTGGCTCCTGGCCAAGGGCTGAGGTGCTCTGAGCCCCCAGAGCCGATCAGGCATTCCTCCAAAAAATGAACAGTATTTCCTCCATATCATCAAACAGCCGTGAATGATGACATCTCCAATTGGCAAGAATCTCTTTTTGCTTCAGTTAGTTTGGGTTGGATATTCTGTCACTTGTGATGGAAAGAGCTCTCACTGATTAAGTGCTCGCTAAATATTTGCTGAACAAATGATTGAACTTTTTTTTTTTTAAGTCTTCAGCTAAATTTTGCTGAAGTAAATTTCCCAAGATGAGACGAGGCTATACATAAGACACTTAATTTGCAGCGTGCTCGGCAGTTTGCAAATCGTGATTCCACCTTAGCTCCACCGTTATTTACGATACCAGAGGTGTCTCTGACCCAGGGAAGGATCTTAAACAAAAACTGGATACATTTCTACCATAAATTGAAAACTCTCACGTCCTAATTATAATTATAATATATACAACTACACATTACAATATAATACATAATTGATATATCAAATGCACCTTGAATATATCACACATTTTAATTTAACATATACAATTTCAAAATAATCTCCGCCCCTCCCCTGCTCGTGCTCTGTCTCTCGCTCAAAAATAAATAAACATTAAAAGAAATTTAAAATTTTGATGGTATGGGCTGCATGGGTGGCTCAGTTGCTTAAACATCTGACTCTTGATTTCGGCTCGGGTCATAATCTCACCGTTCATGGATTCAGGCCCTGCAGAGCCTGATTGAGATTCTCTCTCTCCCTCTCTCTCTGCCCCTTCCCTGCGTGTGCTCTCTCTCTTCCTCAAGACAAATAAATACACTTTAAAAAATAAAATAAAATAAAATAAAATAAAATAAAATAAAATAAAAATTTTGATGTTAATCATCCTCAAGAATCTCAATCCACATGTGTATGTGACCAGAAAGACAAAAGATATTGAACTGCCTTCTCCGATACGCTCTTGCATGCTTACACATATTTTGTTTATGAAACAAGTGTCAGTTTCTGAAATTGACATTTCTACAAACTACTGGGAAAAAAAGTCCCCGTAGGGATGGACAGTTGCACACGAGGACCCATCCTGGGGGTGATGTTATCAGTGTAGTCTGTCCTTCCAGACAGAAGCGCGGAAGCATCGGTTCTGAAAGGAGAAATATCCTTGGGCTCCAAGCCCCGGTCAGAGCCTTGTGGCCTGTTTTGCCAGCTGCAAAATTGTGAATCACCTGTCCTTTAAATTCGATCCTAGCCAGGCCCAGCCTGGTGAGCAATGTCCTCTTTGGGATGAGCTCTGGACGGCCCGCAGAGATGGTAAATAGGTTTCTTGCCATTTGTTTGTCACAAAAGGTTTTCAGCTCTAAAACGTGGCCTTCCGGGTGCCTGGGTGGCTCAGTCGGTGAGGCATCCGACTTCAGCTTAGGTCATGATCTCATTGGCTCGGGTTGATGTGAGTTCAAGCCCGGCATCGGGCTCTCTGCTCTCAGCACAGATCCTCTGTCCCCCTCTCTCTCTGCCCCTCCCGCCCTCTCTCAAAAATAAATAAACATTTAAACATGTGCTGTAGGAGGAAAAGAA